ATCACTACTTTCCTGTTTTGAATAAAAGTATGGCTAGGAACAACCACATGGAAAAGAAGCCATCTCAGATCTGGAGTTGGAGTCACAGAGTTTTGGCACAGAAGGCATCAGAGAACAGTCTTAAATTTATTCTGGTTTATAGCAGTGGCTTTAAGTGTATGCATCTATGCCCAGTGATTTATCTCCAGAAGAATAGTACTAGTTAAAATATTTGAGTATTTCAACACATGCTTTTGTGAATTATTTCAGTTTATCAGCCAGTATTTTTAGTTTAGCAGTGTTTTGCTAGAGAAACAGATAAAACACAAGATACAAAAATGTATAGGAAATTAAATGATTGGCTTACTATAGTCACACACAGAGTTGGATGAGGACATGTGCAGAGGGGGCCTGCACACTGTGGATGGAAAGATTCAGTTCACAGTCTGGCACTCACTGCAGTGTCCCATGCAAGTCTGTATCAGGAAGCCGACAGGTCTAAGATACAAGGCTGACCAGTCTAGGATGGAAGCCAAAGAGTCTACTGGAAGGCTGAAGGATCCACTTCAGAAGTCACAGAATCTGCACTGGTAACCAGGAGGTGATGTCTAAACTGAAGTCGAAGACTAGAGCTCCTCCAGAGTTTAGAAGCTGATCCAGGCTTCCTCGTTTCCCATTTATACCATCCATGCAATGAGCTGCCCTAAGGTGGGTTTTCTACACCTTAGGTTGTAGAACTGCTGAGCCAATGTGGTGACATAATCAATCAACCATTACAGGTAGATATCAGAACAGGTGCTATATTACATATGAATGAGTTAGGACCTAATCAAATTAGGGAACTTTCTCAAAATAACAAAGTTTTAAGGTGGAACATGGACATTAGAATCAGTCGGTCTGCCTTCCCTCAGATTCTGCCTGCCAGCCACCAACCTAAACAGATTCCTATCAAAATGTGGCTTGATTTTATTTGTTCAAAAAGAGTATAGATAAAAGAGGAGAACATATATGTATTTTTCTTTGTGATCAATTTTGTACATGTACATATTATGTAAATGTGCATTCATTATCTTCATAGGATATTTTGAAAAATCACTTGACTATTATGAAATACACAGAATAGACAAAGTTCTAGCCAGCAATTACTGGAAATTAGAACGTGATACAAGTATTGATTTAAAATGCATTGTTGGGGATTATGGTTCCAGAGAACATATGAGGCAGAAGTAAAGACCCAGGGAACTACGGAGAGCCAGTCCGGGATGTGTTAGCAGGTTGGCCACTGTTGTAGCTGAATGGATATTTCATTAAGAAAGAGAATTTGAGGGCTGGGGATATAGCTCAGTGGCACAAGCACCTGCTTAGCAAGCGCAAGCACGAAGTACTGAGTTCGATTCCCAGTACCCCCCCCCCAAGAAAAAAACTAAGTAGAAAAAGAATTTGAGAATTGAAGGCAACATATTTCAAAATCCAAAACATGCCTGGAGCATTTCTCTTCTTCTTCTTCTTCTTCTTTTTTTTTTTTTTTTTGGTACTGAGAATCGAACTCAGGACGTTGTGCTTGCCAGGCAGGTGCTTATGCCACTGAGCTATATTCCTGGCCCTGCAGTTCTCAGCAGGTCAAAATTTGCCACATTGTGTTTAATCTCTTCATTTCTAGGTTTCAGTTCACACTGAAACTTTAACCAGTGTCCTGAATTGATAGGTGAGCTGCTGGAGAGGACCAGATGGACGTACTGTCGGGTTGCACAGCTAGAATCTGTTTAAAGCTGGATGCCTCACTGACTGCTAAAAGGGACAGGTAGCCCAGAGAATTTGAAGTAGTGAATAAAAAGTGTGATGTATTAAGTAACATGTTTTAATTATTCCAAATATGCAGTTTTTCACTTACGGCTTCCTTTCTGCCTTTGCTACCCTTTTATTGCTGGGACAAAATACCCAACACCTAACAGTTAAAGAGGGAAAGTTTATTTTGGCTCCCAAAGTGTGGAGGTTTCACTCCACAGCCAGCTGGCTCCAAGGCAGGTTGGTATGGAAGAGGGACATCAAAGAGAAGAAACAGACAATGGCAGAAAAAGTAGGAGGCAGCAAGCAGAAAGCCTCTCTTTCCTTTTTATCCCATCCAGGCTACAAGCCTTTAGGGTGGTGCCACCCATACCCAGGTTGGGCCTACCCATTATCCCCACCCAGATCTGTGCTAAATCAATTAGTGAACTAATTTAGCTATCACATCTTTAATCCACATTCACACACCCTAGACCCAGCCACTTCTGCAGAGCCCCATCTATAAGTCTATGGGATTTGGGGAGAACACGGACATAGAAGCCATAACACTTTCCTTGGAAGACTTCAGTGTCTTAGCTATCATATTAATCATAAGATCTTCTAAAAGAAGATTTTCCAGGTTTCATCAATTGTTCACTCTGTAAGTATTTAGTGATATTTACCATGTTTCAGGTTTTATACTGGAAGCCAAGGTAGAAATGCAAATATGATATAGATTTGATACAGATCTCTGCTGTCATAAAAATCACTGTGCCTTCAACAGTACTGGCACATAAGGCTATTTTTTAAATAGCTAAAAGGGCTTTCTAATATCATGAGACTATTAATTCCATGAGTATTAAAATGCTATGCAAATCTGAAGTGACCAGAGGGATGTCTTACTAGATAGACGACGCTACCTACCATCCTTGTAAGAAGTCCTGAACCCATCAGCTATAATGGTTTATTTCTGCCCTGGGAGTAGAGACTGTTTATTAACTACGTACTGCCTAGGGCTGGGGATTCTGAAATTTAGACAGATTTGTGTACTTATGCATAAGGCGCCCCCGAGGCACAGGAGAACATTCTGAGGAGCCACAATCCAGGAGCATCACCAGCAGCAGCCACTCCTCTGCTCACTGGCAGGCTTCCCAGGAAGAAGGTGGGAGATGCCCTGTCTCATTGCCAGCACTCCTTCTTTGAGTATCCCAGTGGCCAAACAACCACCACCTGACTCTACCCAATGTGCAGCTTTCAGGAGCCAATTCATTTCTGTGCTTCCACAGGAGCACTCGGATAGGAAATACATTGATTCTTTAAAATCTTTCATGCAAAGTTAGCTGCATTCTGTTGGTTACAAGGAAAATGCCATGTCAGGGACATATTTATACGGCAATAAATTTTTAATGCCTTAGAAACCAGCCGAATAAAAATAAAATCAGAATAAAATTATTCAGAAGACAACGTTGTAGAGAGCAGATAAGTTTTTGGTGGTTTTCAACACTCCGGATCCACCTCCCAGCCTCACCGACAATGAAGACCATGGTAACGTCATGCTTATTACCCCTGAATTAGCTGATGTATGGGGCGCTGTCACTGTTCCTTAGTGTTCCCATTAAACTCTCAGGGCAGAGTGACCAGAGCGTGCCGGGTGCTTTAGGAGGAGGGACTTTCAAGGGGTTTTCTCACCTTCATCCCTGGGGAGTGGAAGGCCTTTTGAGTAACTGCGAAGACAGCAGAGGCTCCTGGCCAGAGGTGGAGGGCCAGCAAGGTAAACTCACTGGGCTCATCAAAGGGCTTGCTCTAGTGACTGAGCACAAAGCCTTCCAGTAGAAACCCCCACCTCCTCCCCAGAGAGGATTCCCTGGTTCAAAATGAGGAGTGATTTCCCTGTAACAGATCTGCAGGCCAGGTGCACCTCTCCCTGGTACAACAGCAGAGATAGGGAGAAGCTACTTGAGGATGAGCACCAAAGCAAGACTTGCAAGCCCCGGCTTTGGAAGCAGATGTGAGTCCTGTGTGAGCGGGTGGATGGATGTGCACGGCAGTGCGGCGGGCGGTGCGGTTCGGGTGCCTCTGTGCTAGCAGAGAAACAAAGGCAGAAATGCCAAGGTCGGCAGGCAGGGCTGGGATTGGCCGCACGGGGTGGGGCCGTGTGAGCGGTGGGGCTGCAGCCTTGCGGGGAAGACTGGTAGGGTGCCACAGGAGATGGTGAGGCCAGGAATCCCGACTTGGGTGGGTGGTGCAGAAGTTACAGGAACAGAACTACCAGCTGAAGTCGAAAATCATGAAGCCTCAAATCAGTCACTCATCGCCTTTAGAGTGGCCCCTCTTCATTTACACACACGCAATAGATATAGTGCGCTGCGCTAACTCTTTAGTCTAACTCCCTCCTCAACGTACTGTATCTAAAAATCTGTGAAGTAAAAGGAAACCTATCTCGGAAGCACATTTTTCGTAAAGGGTGACATTTCTGATAGTCTAATCTTCACATTAGCCTCGGGACCTTAGACAAAGCATACTAACCTCGCGGTGCCTCAGTTTCCCCATCTGCCCTACAGAAACAAAGTGCAGTGTGCGCAGCGGTGCAGGGCAGGTGGGACTGACCGCGGTACGTGGGAACTCTCCAAAGCTGCGCGCGCTCTTCCGCCGCAGGAAGGCACCGCGGTGTTCTCCTCGAGGTATGGGGGAAGACGCGCGCTCTAAAATTAGTTCAGCTTCCCCGCCGGCCGGGAGCGCCCCCCCACCCCCGCTCGCCGCGATTCCCCGCGCCCCTCCCGCCGCCTCGTCCCCGCCGCGCCCGCTCGGAGATCGCCAGTCATCCCGACGCACGCGGACGCCTCTCCCGCGCCCCTCCGCTAGCGGTTTGGGAGGAGGAGACCACGGGAAGCAGCGAGGGGGGGCAGGGGCTCGGCCGCGCGTCGGCGTCCTCGGCGATGGGGAACTCGCAGGCGCTCGGCGGAGAGCAGTAGCGGCGCGGCTGCAGCTCGGGGCGGACTGGGGAGCCCGCGCTCCTCCGGCAGGCTGCGCTGAGCCGGGCTGCG